ATCTCACCGAGCCAGGAGATTCCCGCAAATAGGCGTCACGAGGTAGTCCGTGGCAAGTTGTAAGCATTTGAACCGGTCCTTGATTTCACAAGGTTGTGAGTGCTGGATCGTTTTGGGCACAGAGTGGGCTGTTACGTTCTTCGGTTTGACTCGTCCTTCGGTTTTATCGGAGTTTCCACCAATCACATCTCCCTCGGTGTGACATGGGTCGGTGGATAAGGTCCTGAACCGAGGGAGTCTGATTGGCTCAAAATCGCACCGCGACATTCTCCATTACTTGAATCCGAAACACCGGCTTCGGAACTTGTGGTGTCATCATCTGTCTAACCCGCGATTTCTTGTGAACGGGTAAGTGTACGGTCCTGGTATTGTCCCGTGTCGCTTGTTTTTTGAATGATTGTTCGCTAGGAGTCCTTCCAACAACCCCATGACCCAATCCCTTACCGATGCCGCACTGGTTCTTGACCCGAGCCATCCCGACAATGCCGAGTCCAAGGAGGGGCAAGGAGGCGATGAGATCGACTTGGACGACGAAGAGGCCGTATATCGCGCGGTCGTAGGGATTCAGTTACCCGACGATCATGGCCACGACTTCATGTCTCTGTATGAGATGGTCCGTCGGGTAGCGGACGATCAGATGTCGTTAGTGGCTCGGATGGATCGTTCCCGTCGGCTGTCAGCGTGCTTGCAGGACGAGCTACAACATACTTTCCCCGTGGGTCCTTCGTCTCGAAACGCGGCTATCTTGCGGTTGGCTGACAATTATGAGTTCACCCGAGGCGCCCTTCGAGGGGTGCAGGACCATCTCCGAGTCCGGGAACTGGAATTGGAGCGAGAGCGAGAGCAACACGAGGCCGTACAGCTGGAGCGCGACGGCCTTGTGGACCAGAACAATTGTTTGGCCGAAGAAAACTTTATGCTTCGTTTGCGTTTGTCGCAAGCGAATACGTCTGTCGAGAGAGCGGTAGCCGATGCCCATAGTCGCCAGCAGATCCGAGCTACGGAGGAGGATCGGGCCGAAAGACTTGCCGAGGCTCTTCGACTTGAGGTGGCCGAGCACAAGACCTTGCTAAAGGATCAGGGGGTTGTGCTCGAAAGCATGCAAGGCGAACTCGAGGTGGCTCGTGCTAGAGCTGATGCCGATGCCCGGACCGTGAAGACCAAATCTGTTCTGACTCAGTTAGCGGCCAGGGGACGGTCCAGTGTGGTGGCGGCGCATGACGATCTCCTGCATGACCTAGAGGTGTTTCGGGACGAATTTCGGAAGCAAACCGAGGCACTGGCCGTCATGACGGCCCTGAAGGAGCACAGGAGCCAGGCTCTACAGGATAGCCGGCGCGAGGTCGAACGCCTAGCCGCCGAGCTGCGACATCCAAAAACGAAGCACAGTCCGTCACCGCTCTTCTCGGTTCGTTACCTTCCCAGGTTACCAGCCAACAGGAAAGTAACGGCCTCTTGAAGGCAGCGTATCAGGCGATGGAGACCAAGCTGGCTGCGGTAACGGCTCAGAACCAAGAGCTCCGAACCGAAAACGCCGACATTAGCCGTTGTGCTTCCGAGACTCAACGCGCTTTGGCCGAACAAGTTGAAGTGTGGTCGGCTCGTGTCCTCAAGTTAGAGGCGCAGACGCGAGACCAACGTCAAGTTTCCAAACGTCGCGTCAAACAGTTGAATGCTTCCCTCCTCGCGGTCAAGCAGTCGGTACGCTACTTTCAAGGGTCGGCGCGAAATCTCCACGCACAGCTTCGGGACTCGGTCCCCTCCTTCTGGGATTGGGTCCGCAAGAACTTCTCGCTCAAGAATGGGCACCGGGTCGAGGACCTACTGTCGGCGTGGTTGGCTGACGAGCCGAGCCTGTACGCCAAGCACCTGGAGGCGGTCTGCTTGATCTTCGACACCCCCTCGGCCCCCTCGTTGCCACTTCTCGAGGGGCGAATATTTGGCAAAGCCCCGGACGATTCCACTTTGGATCTCCCGTGGACCAGCGATTCCTCGCTCGGCAGGTCTCCCACGTCGAGCGAGGACGGCCCGCGCGGTTCCACCAAGGTCACTACCGCGGACGAAGAAGAAGATGAAGCTAAGTCCGGCGGTAACGTTGCAGACGAAGAGGAAAAGGAGGAAGTGGCCTCAGTTGGAGCGATAGCTGACAGTGAGCAAGTTGACCGAGCCATTTCGAGTCGCTTGTTGGTGAAGGAGACTCCACTGTCCAGGACGCCGACCCGTAAACGTGCCACCACAAACCCGCCTGGGATGAGGTCGCCCAAGAAGCCTCGCGTTGTCATGTCGGATGCCGGGAGAGGGTTGCCTACCATGGGTTTGATTTCCTCTGTCGAGGTGGCCTACCAGGACCTGGTCCGTCGCGCCCCATGGGAACGTTACCGGACGCAAGTGTCCTTCATCCCTCCGTCATTTCTCGCCGATCCCATGTGGGGCGATTTTCAAGCGGCCCTGGACGATTTTTGGCGCATTCACGCTCGGGCCGTGTGGAACCGTATCTTCCTCCCTCGGTCATCGACGACAGCCGAGACGGAAGTGAACCAGACGCTGGAGCCCCTGGTTGGTCTTGCGGGGCATCTGTACCGCAACTCCCGGGCCCACGGCTTGTCCTTGTTGCACTACTTGTGTTATCCACATGCCTTCTGGCCTTCGTTTTTGGCGAAGGGTTTGTCCCTTCTTCAGATGGTCCGGGCTCGCGGCGAATCCGCCGCTTTGGACTACGTGCAGACGCAAGGGGATAAGCTCCGGCCCGAAGTGCCCCTTCGAGTGAAAGGTCAAGCGTGGCGAGCCCCGTTCATGCCGACCCTAGAGTTTGTGTACGGGCGTGACCTTACTGTCCGTCAGTGCCAGGCCTTTGACCCGGATCGTACTGTCCCCTTCGACGAGGCCGAAGTCAAAGAGGCCTTGGCTTGGATGCTCGAGGAAGCTGGTATTTTCGGCCACGCCGCCGCGACCGATGAAGTGTATCCGTTTGTTGCCGAGGCGGGATCCCGTCCGTGCGAACAGTCTCAGTGGGCCTTGATTGATCCCCCCATGGGTACGATAGCCCCTGAGGGTCCACCCGCGGTTCCTGCTACGTCCCTTCCGGCCTCGGTTTAGTCCTCTGCATAAAGTCACGGGCTTGACCTTTCCTTCGTCGCCTTCGTCGTTTAATACCATATGTAACATGCATGTTCCCCATTCTCCATCCTCCCAGCGGGTCGGAGAACTTTAGTGGGGTAGTTTAATACTCCTGGACCACAGCCTCCGAGTCCATTGCGGACACGCGAGGGCTGCGTCGGAGTACGGGCAAGTCGTTGAGTCTTCGCCTTCGGTCCTCGTACTCGGTGACGAAAGACGTGTAGTCACCGAGCTTCGACCGAGGAGTCCAATATGACTTTCCATCGGCGTGTTGGACCAAGTATTCCACTTCTCTTGGTGGTTCATTGCGCTTGTCGAGGATTGCTAGCACCGGAGTGGACGCGTTCGAGTAGGCCACGTCACCGTCGGTGAAATCGATCCGCTCGATCAAGCTGTCCGTTGGCAGGAGTGCCTCGTCGAGGATAGTGTCGTCTGTCGCTTGTTGGGTTGCGGAGGGCTCTGAGGGATCAGCGTATCCTTCAGGGATCTCGTCGTTGAATGGGCGCGTCCAATGCCCCCGAAACAACTTGAGCCTGTCGACGTTGATGGGGACCACACGATCAGGATGCGTGGGGAGATAGATCCGATAGGTGTTGTCCCCTTGTTTGGCAAAAATTCGATAGGGGCCGTGCCAATGGTAGGCGAATTTCTTGACTCGGAGATCTTCGGGGTTTCGTGTTTTGTGGAAGTATTGGTACACCCAAACCGAGTCCGAAGGTTGATAGTCCACCTTCCGCTGTCCATCTTTTACCGCCGCGTCACGGTTTTGTCCCCGCAAGAGCTGAGCTTCTACCAACTTTCGCGTGGCCATAAACCAGGCACTCTGTTTTCGACGCCACTGAGGCAGCTCGTCCGACTTCCACAAGGGTTCTTGGTTGACGAAGGCCAAGTGTAGTGGTTGGATGGGGTCTCGTCCATACATACAAAAGAACGGAGTGTCGCCGAGCGTTTCTTGGTTAGCCGTTCGATACGCCCAAAGTAACCGAGGGAGATAGGTATCCCAGTCGGTATGCGCAGCGTTGACATACATCTTTAGCATCGTGGCCAAGGTAGAGTTGAACCGCTCCACCAGCCCTTGACCCTGCGGGTGTCCGGGGGAACTGGCCACTTTGTCAATTCCTACCGTTTGGTACAGTGTCTCGGCTAGTTTCGAGACGAAGTTCGATCCTCGGTCCGACAGTAGTTTGTCCGGCACCCCATATCGGCACAACACTTCATCGACGAGTACTGTCAAAAAGGTCGAAGTCTTGAGGTCAGGTACTGCGATTGCCTCAGCCCACCGAGTGAAGTAGTCCATGAAGACTAGGATGTACTTGTTGCCATGCTGAGTTGTGGGGAGTGGTCCTAATGCGTCAACTACCACGAAGCTGAAAGGACCCCGGAGTTCGTAGACTGGCATGCGTTGGAGGATCCCTTGTTTCCAGGGTCGGGTACCTTTGGCTGCGCCACATCGGACACAGCAACGGCAGTACTCTGCCACGTCATTCCA